ATGCAATCAAGAAAAGTCTAGGTACAGACTAAGCAGCCTTTCAACTATGTTTGGGCATTCTGAAGGCTGGCCTGTTTTTGAAATAGCTCTCTTAAAGACCAAATGGGGAAAAGCCAAGAGCTCCGGGCAATACTTCAAAAGTCAACAGCTGCTCTGCACTCCTAGTCAATCCCAATTTGCCACTTGGCTGCTTGCTGATGAGCTGCTTGTATGAGTATCTGATAGCACCATGGTGTATTTCCCAGTTCACCCATTGACTCGTCAAGCTTTGGGCAAGGTATCTGGTATCCCAGAAGTTTGGCTTCCCTGCAAAACAGCTTGTCATAAGAGAAAGAGTATTTGATTGGAAGTCGAGAGTCCAGTTTCAGGTCTGAACTGCTCATAATGACATAGATAGTACTGGGCAAGCCCCGAAATGTCTTTGAGCCTTGGCTTTTGGGGTTTTGCTGTTATTAACATTTTACAATGTGACTTTCAAATGTACAAAGGGAGAAAGAATCAAATAGTCCATTCAATGACTTATTGTTTAGTTGCAACAATTATCAACTTGTGGTCAATCTTACTTATTTATGCTCTAACTCAACTTCTGGGTTATTGTAAAATAAATCCCAGTTCATATCATTATATCCATCAATACTTCAGAGTGTATTCGTGAAAGATTAGAACTACTTTGTTTTTAAAAAGCCAAAATAACATTAAATACTAAAAATTGACCATAATTAATATTTTCAAATATCTAGTGTTCAAATTTCTCTAATTGTCAACTTTTTCAAAATACTTTTTGAATAAAATCCAAAAGATGTTCGTAACATTTAATTGTTAAAATGTTTCTTAAGATTCCTGTGAACTATAGATTTCCTCTTTCTCTTCTGCTTTCACTGTCTCTCTCTTAAACTTTCTTCACCCCTTAACCTCTTCTCTCCTTCAGTTTATTTGAGGGGAAGAGCCTAGGTCATTTGTCAATAGAGTTTCTCAGTCTGGACTTTGCTAATTGCTTCCTTATACTGATATTGAATATGTTCCTCTGTCTCCTGTACTTTCTATAGTTACAGCTAGAAGCTTGATCATTTCAGGTACTCATTTTTTTGTAAGAATGATTCTTAGGTGGTATTGTTTACCTCCATTATGATGCATTTAATGTGTAGTTGTTTCTCCTTTTGAGTTGTTAGCTGCCATTGATAATCACTGTCTAGATCCATTATTTTCATTAGTGGGAACCTCTTCAATTAGACTACTTAGTCCCTGCAACATGACCCCAAAAGTCTTCAATAACTTTCTTCATTTCTGGAATGATAAAAATTTTTGTACAGTTCCCCAGATACGAAGTTAGTCATTTTTTCCAAGGAATCCTGCTTTAGACATCGTTTTTACATATTCAAAATGAGAATTATTTATAATTTTTCTTATTAAAAATTGAATATATTCAAAAGTAAAGAAAATGGCGTAATGAACTACTTATTATCTATGCATTACCCAGCTTCAACAATTATAATCTCAAGTAAATTTTGTTTCATTTATATTCACACCTACTTTCCATCCACCACCCTATCATTTCCCACTGAATTCTTTCAAGCAAATCTCAGATATCATATTATTTTATCTCAAGATATTTTGATGCATATCTGAAAGATCAATACCATTTTCTTTAAGTATAACCACGATTCCGTTATCACACCTAGATAAATTAACACTAATTCCTTAATATCATTAAATATCTAAGACAGGATTCAGATTTTCCTGATCGTCTCACTTTTTTTAGTTAGTTTGCATAAAGATTGACAGTGTTAAAAATTCAATTAGTTGGCCAGGCATGGTGGCTCACTTTTGTAATCCCAGAACTTTGGGAGGCCAAGATGGGTGGATCACCTGAGGTCAGAAGTTTGAGACCAGCCTGACCAACATGATGAGACCCCGCCTCTACTAAAAATACAAAAATTAGCTGGGTATGGTGGCACTCACCGGTAATTCCAGCTACTTGGGAGGCTAAGGCTAATGCAGGAGGATCGCTTGAAGGTGGGGGATGGGGAAGGGGTCGCGGAGGTTGCAGTGAGCCAAGATTGTGACATTTCACTCCAGCCTGAGCAAATGAGCAAGACTTCACCTCAAAAAAAAAAAAAAATTCAATTAGTTGATGTGTCTCTTTAGTCTCTTTTAACCAAAAGCTTCTTCCTTTTTATCGCCTCCTTGAAATATATTTGTTAAATGAAATAAGTCTTTAGACCTGTAGAATTTCCACAATCTACATTCTGTTAATTGCATATTCATAGTGTTGCTTAACATGCTCCTCTGTCCCTAGTCTAATTACATAGCTCTCAGCATACGCTAATTCTTATGATGCAATCAAGAAAGTTAGTAGTTAGATCTGGAGTTCAATCAGATTCAAGAATTTTTTTTTTCTACAATAACACATGTTAGATGATATGTACTTGAATTAGGAGGCCATAGTATCTGGCTCTCTCTGTTTTGTGATATTAACAGACATTAATCATCAATGTCTAGACCTACTTTTGTATTACGAATTGCAAAATAGTAATGCTCTAGTTGTATCATTTCTTCTTCACTTCTTAACTAAATGTGTAGATAAAGAAAAATGTCCCAGGCCAGGTGCTGTGGCTTGTGCCTGTAATCCCAGTGCTTTGAGAGACTGAGGAGAGAGGATCGCTTGAGTTCAGGAGTTTGAAACCAGCCTAGGCAACATGGCGAAATGCTGTCTCTAAAATAATTTTTTTTTAATTAGCTGGGCATGGTGGCACACACCTGTAGTCCCAGCTACTTGGGAGGCTGAGGTGGGAGGATTGCTTGAGCCCAGGAGACAGAGGTTGCAGTCAAGATTGAGCCACTGCACTCCCATCCTGGGTGACAGGGCAAGACCCTGTCTTAAAAAAAAAAAAAGAAAAGAAAAGAAAAAGAAAAATGTCCCTTAGCTAACTATTGGATTGCCCTGAGGTACAGGTCATTTTGGAAAGACAGGATATATGCCTCCATGCTCACAAATTTTCAAAACACTGAGTTGCTTCCTTAGCATCCTTCAAAATGGAGCAGTAATGGTATTTTCCTTTTCTTCCTCTATTTTTTTAAAAAAAAATTAGAAATGGGATCTTGCTTTGTTGCCCAGTCTGGCATCAAACTCCTGGCCTCAAGTGAGCCTTCCACCTCAGGTTCCCAAAGTAGTGCGTTCCAGCCCAGGTGACAGAGCAAAACCCTGGCTCAAAACACAAAATAGTGTAGCCCAAAGCTGCCTCCTTACAAATTTTAAGGATGATCTAGAGGTTTCTCCATACCGCAGAGAGCTATAACCTGGCTAGATGTGTAAATGGACTGCAACCTACTCTTGTAACAAGTACCTGAGTCACAGCCAATCACAGAAGCCATACTTTACACACAAGCAGCCCACTTTTCAGTGTTCAAGCAAGGCGGACGCCAAGCTGTAACCGATCTAGCTGTTCTTGTATCTCACTTCTGTTTTCTCTACCTCACTTTCCTTTTTCAGTCCCCAAATCCTCTCTGACCACCAAGTCAGGAGGGGAATGACTCTGAACTTCCTCTGGTGGGTGAGGGGAGGGTGTGGCATGTGTTGACCAATTCATAAACTGTTCTTTGTTCAATTAAACTCTGTTACACTTAATTTGTCTAAAGTTTACAGGGCTTGAGCAAAGAACAATTTAACAAAACATCAATTAAAAAAAAAAAAAAAAGCAAAGCCAACAATATGTAGCTCTTCTACAGAGTCTGAAAAAGTTAGACAGAAACCTCCTCTATTAGTTTTCTATGGCTTCTGTAATAAACTAGCACCAGTCCGGCCAGGTCCCGCCGTGCCCGCCAGCCATGAGCTCCACGCAGTTCAACAAGGGCCCCTCGTACGAGTTGTTGGCCGAAGTCAAGAACCAGCTCCTGTCCAAGTATGACCCTCAGAAGGAGGCAGAGCTCCGAAGCTGGATCAGGGACTCACCGGTCTCTCCATCAGCCCCGACTTTCAGAAGGGCCTGAAGGACAGGATTATCTTATGCACACTCATGAACAAGCTACAGCCAGGCTCAGTCCCCAAGATCAACCGCTCCATGCAGAACTGGCACGAGCTAGAAAACCTTTCCAACTTCATCAAGGCCATGGTCAGCTACGGCATGAACGCCGTGGACCTGTTCGAGGCCAACGACCTGTTTGAGAGCGGGAACATGACGCAGGTGCAGATGTCTCTTCTCGCCCTGGTGGGGAAGGCCAAGACTAAGAGGCTGCAGAGCGGGGTGGACGTTGGCGTCAAGTACTCGGAAAAGCAGGAGCCGAACTTCGACAACGCCACCATGAAGGTCGGCCTGTGCGTCATCGGGCTGCAGACGGGCACCAACAAATGCGCCAGCCAGTCGGATATGACCGTGTACGGCACGAGGAGGCAACTCTACGACCCCAAGAACCACATCTTGCCCCCCATAGACCACTCAACCATCAGCCTCCAGATGGGCACCAACAAGTGTGCCAGCCAGGTGGGTATGACGGCTCCTGGGACGCGGCGGCACATCTATGACACCAAACTGGGAACCGACAGGTGTGATAACTCCTCCATGCCCCTGCAGATGGGCTACACTCAGGGCGCCAAACAGAACGGCCAGGTCTTCGGCCTGGGCTGGCATATATACAACCCCAAGTACTGCACGCAAGGCACAGTGGCCGACAGGGCTCCCTCCAATGCTGGCGACTGCCCGGGCCCAGGGGAGGCCCCTGAATATCCCCTTACTACCAGGAGGAGGCAGGCTACTGAGGCTCCCAGCGTGCTCTCTCTCTATGCCGTTGTCTCCCCGTCTCCCCGTCTCCCCGTCTCCCCGTCTGGGTTTCTGGGGTTTTCTGTGTTTTCATCTTTTTTTTTAATTAACCTGTTCAGTGCTGCCAATCAGCCGAGGGTCTATGAGTGGTTCCTGGGATCAAGAAGCCTCCCCCCTACCTTGATCCTTTGCAGGACTGAGCCACCAGGCTGGGGTGGGGAAGGGGTCAAGGCCGTATCCTGATACCTGTAGGGTCAGGGTCCCTGCTGGCACGTCCAGGCTGTAGGCCGCGCTGTGCTGGGGAGAAGAGGCCTGGGCTTGGAAGGAACCGGTCCCTGAAGATTTCCGGTTGCCTCGTCTCTTCTCACTTTTGTCACCCGATCAGTTTGTGGTTTCTGTACCCACAAAAGTTTCAGGAAGTATTAACAAAAGAAAAATACTTTTTTCCACCCCAAGGAATGGGGCGGGGACAGTGGAGAGGGTGCTGGGCAATGAGTGCCCTGGTAAGGGGGCCTGGCCACGATGCTATAAATGTCTCAGGCTCCCAACTGGCTGGATTTTCTTCAGACCCTCAGACCAGCCCCGGGGCCTGGTGGGGAAAGTGAGGCCTGTACAAGGAAGTGGAATTCAGAGTTGTTGGGGCCAAGCCTGACCCTGTCTCCATGCTACCCCGCCCTCCTTGTAGCCTCAGTGGGTTTTTTTCCGTTGTTGCTGTTGCACAGGCTGGAGTGCCGTGGGGCAATCTTCACTCACAGCACCTCCACCTCCCGTGCTCAACGGATTCCCCTGTCTCAGCCTCCCAAGTAGCTGGGACTGCTCCACTACGCTGCCTAATTTTTGTATTTTTGTTAGAGACAGGGTTTCATCATGGTGGCCAGGCTGGTCTCGAACTCCTGGCCACAGGTGGTCCCCCCCTCCTCGGCCTCCCCAAGTGCTAGGATTAAAGGCGTGAGCCACTGTGCTTGGCCCCTCAGTAGGTTTTCAGGAGCCCCAGCCCTCCTCCTCCCCTTCTGGGCCTGACCAGCTACACTGCGCCATCTCCTCGGGCAACACACCCGCCAAGTACTGCACAGGAGCCCTCACACAGGGTCCCTGCTCCATAAGATAATGTGAAACCCAACTGTGGACCAAACACAAAAAACCCCTGTTTGTAAGAAGAGAAAAATAAAAAATTTAAAAAATGAAAAATAAATAAAACTAGCGCCAACTAGGTGGCTTAAAGTGGAAGAAATGTATTTTCTCAGTTTTTTGGCCAAAAGTCCAAAATCAGGGCCTGCCACTACGGCTCATGCCTGTAATCCCAGCACTTTGGGAGGTCAAGGCAGGAGGATCACTTGAGGCTGGGAGTTTGAGACCAGCCTGGGCAATATAGTGAGACTCAATCTCTAAAACAGAAGAAGGAAAAAAAAAAAGTTAAAAACAAAACAAAAAAACTAAATCAGTGTGTGGGCAGAGGCTCTGAGGGAGATTCTGTTCCTCAGAACTTCCAGCTTCCGGTGGCTATCAGCCTTCCTTGGCTTGTGACTAGGTCACTCATCTTTCTTTGTCTTCACATGGCTTCCTCCTGTCTATCTCCTCTATGCATCTCGTATAAAGACCTGTCATTACATTTAGGAGCTCCTTGGATAATCCAGGACAAGCTTCTCTTCTGAAGAAACAAAATTATATCTGCAAAGACGTTTTTTGTGGAGAAGGCAATATTCACAGGCTCTGCAGATTGAGAGGTAGACATACCTTTTTGGAATGGGGGTCAAAGGAGAAGGAACTTGAGGCTTGAATATCCGGAAGTAAATACTCTGGTGCAAAGGGATGCTCATCTATGATTGGCTGAAGCATGATACATAGTCATGCCTACCTTCAACCATCTCCAATCAACCATCTCCACAAGGAAGCATAACTAAAGAAAAAAGCGTAAATGGGACTGGTGTTTCTGGTTTTGGGAATTTTCTATTTAGAAGTTTAATATCTGTTTTCTGAGATAAAAATCAGAGTAAGCAAAAAAGAAGAAGAAAGCATAATCACTGACTAGAAGGCAGGGCAAAAGCAACACCTTCTGACTCTGAAGTGCTTAAGGTTGAAGGTAGGTCCAGACACAAACCCTTAAGACTGTTTTCAGTGCTCCTTTCCCGCCTTTAGTAACGAAAAAGCTAATTACACAAAAACTTCATTAGGAAGCTAAATTGTGGTGCTGATTTTGTTTAAATCAAGCCTGAATGAATAAAAGTTAGTTTTGTGATTTTGGAGGGTTTCAAAGTAAAAGAAAGGTATTCAAGGAAATGTATGTACGTGGAGCATCGCCATTCTCAGTGATTCTGGACAAAATGATGTGTGGCTGTACCTTCCTTCATGGTTAAATTATAAGGTATTATGTAGTGCCACATGATCGAATATATGCCATTTCAAACCAAGCCCAAGATAAATGACCCATATTTCAAGTTAAGCTTTTTGCATTTGAAAAGAAGACAACAACCTTGGACCATTACTAAATCCCAGAGCAGAAAGACTGATGTAGCACATACTCTAAATATCACTGAGTCGAAGGCAATGAAATTTGTTATATACCATGATATTTGAGAACATATGTGAGCTTTTTAAATGTGCTCCATGGTTCAGTACTATTAAGACCTGATATATCCAGTTGATGCATCGCGTCATCAACCTGCCAGCAAGCCTTTGGAGAGCCATTTGTCCCTGGATCCAAATCAGGTATGTACCCTGACTGTTAAAAAATATTTTGTTAGACTAAATGACTGAGCTATCTTTGACGGGCCTGCCAAATAAATTATGACAAAGGTTGACCACTTTGGGCCCTCAGGTAGTATTACCAAAAGAAAAAGACAAAAAGCTGTATTTTTCTAGTTGCTGGTCTTCTCCAGAACAAATGCCTCATTCTTTCTCTTATGAATTTTAGCTGAGGTTCAAGGTTCTTGCACTTTATTATCTTGGAACTTAACAAGGTACAGATGTCATTTATCCTGTATATTGTTTGAAGAGGCATATATTCAAAGTTGGTATATAATGCTATTTCTGTGATTCCTGAATCAACAGGAAGTTGAGGCTTAATGGAAAGAGGATAGGTGTTGGAGCCTGACTTACATGGGTTCAAATCCCAGCATAACTACTTCGTGGACTCCACATCTTTTTAAGTGGGATGATAATATCTACCTATGGGATTGCTGTTAAGATTAATGGTGATTAAGTGCTAACAAACTGTAGGCACTTAGAAAAAGATGGCTTTTGTTATTATTTCCTGACAGCAACAGGCTTCCTCTAAAATTGCTAACTGAGGATTTACAAAGATAAATATATTGAATTTGATTATGTATAAAATAACGGGCAGCAGCTGGGCCTATGGCCAACAGAAAAATACATAATGTACCTGAAGGCATTCAAAAGCAAAAAACAGCAACACAATCACAAGTAACAATAATAACAACAAACCCACTGGGCCTACCCGATCAAACCATTGGTCTCTAAACATTCAAATTCTTTCAAACAATTTAAGAGTAGTCATTAGAAATTAATTTGCCTTTGAGCAAATTTATCTCCCAGACAGGCAAAAGGCTTTTACATTTTTTTAACAAATAGTTTTCAAACTCATTTAGGTTTCCCCTTGCTCCTTTGACTAACACATTGTAACTCTACACATCCTAACTCTGTTTTGCTACTCCCTTGCTGATTCTGAGCGCTCATACATCAGTAAGAAGTGTATTCAGTTTCTCTGCGTGACTACCTGAATTTCCGGGAAAGCCAACAGAAATAGAACAGAATGGAGTTACAGAGAATGTTTCATTTCCTTCGTGCTTCTGCCACATTACCATGATTTTCTTCTGGGCAGAGGCCTATGGAACTATGTAAATAGCTATAACTTCTCTAAGAAAAAGACTGGGCTGGTCACAGTGGCTCACACCTGTAATCCCAGCACTTTGGGAGGCCAAGACGGGGGCGGGGAGAATCACCTGAGGTTGGGAGTTCAAGACCAGCCTGACCAACATGAAGAAACCCTGTCTCTATTAAAAATACAAAATTACCGGGCATGGTGGCACATGCCTGTAATCCCAGCTATTCAGGAAGCTGAGGCAGGAAAATTGCTTAGGTTCTGGTGAGCCGAGATTGCACCATTGCACTTCAGCCTGGCAACAAGAGCAAAACACTGTCTTTAAAAAAAAAAAAAAAAAAAAAAAAACTGAAGTTTTAGTTGTATTACATTTCCTTGTATTTTATTATTGCTCTACATTGTGTTTTAGGAAAGTTTTGGAAAATACAAAGATCTTACCCATGGGATGGGAGGGAAACTGCTAAAAACAATTACCTGGTTTTGGAGCTTTTTTTCAAAAAAGGTTTTCCTTCTGCAACTGTTTGGGAGTTTACTTCCTTGCAAAAGACCGGCTTTCTGAAAATTTTCCATTGGCAATGGGCCAAGGCCGAAATTACTTTCAATTAAACCCTTAAGTGTTTCCCTTTCTCTTAGTTATCACCAAAAACAATGCCTTCTTCTTAGTGTCCGATTTAGTCTAACTCAGAGAGGTTCCAGAGCAGCATATGAGGCCACAAACAGCAGACAAACTTTTGTCTCGTTTTATATGTTAATCCAGCCCTCATTGATTCTCCAGTGTTCAACTCAATGTGGGGACATATTGGAGGCCAGAGTGTTTGTAGAAAGAAGAGGTTGCCAGTCGGGTGCAGTGGCTCACGCTTGTAATCGCAGCACTTTGGGACGCTGAGGTGGGTGGATCACAAGGTCAGGAGTTTGAGACCAGCCTGCCCAAGATGGCGAAACCCTGTCTCTACTAAAAATACAAAAATTAGCCAGGTTTGGTGGCGCACGTCTGTAATCCCAGCTACTCGGGAGGTTGAGGCAAGGGAATCGCTTGAACCCAGCAGGCAAAGTTTGCAGTGAGCCAAGATCGCGCCACTGCACTGCAGCCTGGGTGACAGAGCAAGACTCCATTCCAAAAAAAAAAAAGAAAGAGGTTGCAGATGAAGATTGCGGGAGACAGAGAGGTTCTGTTTTCCAAACTTTTGTGTGGCTGAATTTATCACAGGATAAAACCTCAATCGGATCAAATATATTAAAGAAATGACTCATAAATCAAGACTACTGTGTTGACCCATAAGTTGGAAATATCTACACTTTCCCAGAACTTATTTCATGTTCCAAATATAGTCCTAACTGTACAGTTTTATGGTCTGTCTCATGTAAAGTAGTCTACCAACCATAACTATTTTAATTTCAGTTAATCTCTCAAACCATGTTTCTACAAAGTATTTAAGATTTCTTGCGGGTAACCTCACTAGAGGAACTTCCACAATTGCAGAAAGGCAATGGCAGTTTAATACCTTTTCCCCACCTTCTCTCCAACCCAGTCCTCTCCCATGTCCCCACCAGCCCAACTCTGGCCCTCGTGTTCTAATGAAGGCAAAAAATACATATCTGAAGAACAAAAGCTTCAGCTTAATCAAAGTAGTAAGCCCAGAAGTTAGGCCTAAACCTCATGGGTCAGGAAAACTTAGGCAGAAATTGTTCACTTTCACAAATGAAAATCCAAGTTGGCTTCTTTCACTTACTTGGCTGAAAACTGCTTTCTCTTGTCTGGATGAGAAGAGATCAGATGTGACTCTTAGATCTGCTTTCAAGTATTCTGTTCAATGATCTCTGAATTCTTCACTATATATTTCTTTAGACTTTGCCTTTCTTTTGAATTTTGCACCTTAATGGCCCCTTGGCTGAGTGCTGTGGCTGATAATTTGAAGACGGCTCTAGTTCCCTGTGATCTGGCTATTAAGTAGATTTACAGGTGGGTCTCTTTCGTCATGCCTTGAAAAGGGGATAAAGTTTTTATAATCTATTTAGAAGCCATGCAATTTAACATAATTCTACTCTTTCATTTCTCCTCACCTTATACATATAATCCATTAAGCTATTTTATAGAGGCCAAATATGATAGGGCAGTGACACTGTAGTATTTCTCAACCCGTTATCAAGACTGCAATATTTTAACAGGAGTGCATACCCAAATGCAAATTTCCATTCTCTTCGTATAACATTTATGCAATAAAGAATGAATTGAGTACATGATTTTTCATTTCGGGAGTACTAGGGCTAGTAATGCATGAGCTGCAAGAAGCAAGCATTAATCTATCTAGCTGCTAAGAAATGAAATGTCACTTAGAGGAACTTGTTCTTGCCAGCACACTCTTTCACAGAATCCTCCATCAAAAAGTGGAGAAAAAAGTCATTCTTTTTCCAATTGTATTAAATCATAGCACATCTAGCCTTTTTCATGTGTTCTGATTTAGTTCCTGCATACAGAGTGTACTGAGGCTTGAGTTTTTCAAGGATACCTCGTTTGATTGCATTTTTTACAAGGAAGAGTGATTTTTTTTTTTAAAGAAAAGATGGGAGCAAAAGAAATATTTCTTCAAAAGAACAGTTTTGTAATTGTGTTCCTCACTCATTGTTGCTACTTCTGGGCTGGCATCTTAGTTGCTATGGGTTTTGGATGGTGTCACAGGGTGCGTGTGTGTGTGTGAATTTGTATATGTGTCTGTGTGTGTGCCTATATCTACCAGATTAGTTCTGTTCACTCATGTTATTAGATGAATTATTTCTCTGATAAATTAAGAGAGAAATTTTTAGGTGAATTAAGATCATAAGTAATATGAATAATAACAAAGTATTTTAATACAACAGATGACTGAAAAGCCTGAACACTAAATGTTTTAGTTAGTCAGTTTTAGACACAGGGTCTCTCTCTGTTACCGAGGCTTCATTGCAGTGGTGCAATCATAGCTAAATGCAGCCCGGAACTTCTGTGCTCAAATAATTCTCCTACCTTGGCCTCTCAAAGTACTCAGATTACAGACATGAGCCACCACACTCAGCCTAACTATTTAGTTTTAAGGTACAATAATATATATACA